GTGTTCGGAGCTGTTCGGAGCTGTTCAAGGACACTCCGAACAGCTCCGAACAGCTCTGAACAGCTCTGAACACCTAATTGCGTTTACAGATGACTGATATGATAAGTCCATGACAGATTACAACTTACTAGTAGTGTCATATCCAACTAGTAAGTGTCCACTTCAAGATCCATGACAAAAGGGAAGTCCATGGAATATATGTGTCAAGTAGAAAGACATCATAACACTGAGAATGAATTGTAACACATCAGAATGCAAAATGTTTCTTGAAAAGTTTCTCTGAGTGCAAGAAAACAGATGAATGCACTTCTTGATGGTCATATACCTGCCTAGGACGTTTGCAGTGCCAGGCTCTTAGTAGCCTTATTTTGAGATAGAGTGGGCATGAGAGACAAAGTAATTACTAACCGTGAGAAATGACGTAGTGGGGGCTTCCCATTGTTGTTATTTGTCAGAAGTGGAGGACAACCCTCAGAGTGGACTTCCCATTTGATTAGGAAATATGCATATTCCAACAGCTTGTAAAGGGGTGTCATAGGGTCTTTGCCAGTATTTGGTTCCAGATCTTTCACTTTGATCCCATCCTGAAGGGGTGTCATATTGAGGCCAGCTAGCATAGCTTCATATGCCATCCATCTGCTAGGGATAGCTCCATTGTCACATCTTTTCTTTTCTATGTTGCCCCCACCACTATAGGCTGGTCTCAGGCAGGCTGTGATCCAACAGGATATGGGTACTCACATATCAGAATGGGACCCTCTGAACCAAACTTCTTTGCATCTTGGCCTACCAAATTCACCAGCTGAAAAGCTTTCTTTCTTTGCAAAGATATATTCAGGCAAGAACTTCACCCTTCGCTCATCAAGAGCAAGGGCATGGCGAAAGAAACAGATATTTTCTGCCAGTTCCACTCCTGGATAATATTTGTTTCGAAAAAGACCAACAGAGGAAATGGTGTCCCTTTAGCACCATGGAGTTAAAAGCAGAACAGGTGTTGCAGAAAATATGCATACCAAACACCAACAAAATGTATATTGACATCTTGGCAAAAGGTTTTCTTAAACCATTTCATAGTGGTAGTAGTTGAAGCTTCAAGGTCCATGTACATTTTGAAGGCACTGTCAATTGGCTGTCTTGTTGACAATCATACAGGAATCAAATTTCAATCTCACAATTGGATCTGCTCATTACTGCATGTATAAAGTAAACCAACCTGTGTGGAGATGAATATTTCAAAGGAGTTCAATTGACATGAAAGAGCACCTTTGTGATCATTGCTGCTAGAATCCTTGCTTGATATGCTCCCCGAGAAAACCCTGACCAATTCAAAAACCACATTCAGTCATGCCAAACACTTTGCTAGTACAAGAGTGACCTACCTAGCAGGAATATTTGATCCCCCTTCTTATATTTATCAGAGAGGAATTGATATGCTGACAAGAGGTCTGATTTGAAGTGACTTTGAGAAGGAAATAAACTTCAGTACAGTAGAAGGAATTGAACATATTCAGCAACTTACAGGGCCACCACAGATGCCCATTTGTTCTTGATCCACATTTGTTGGCATCTTGTGGGTGATGAAGGTGTTACAAATGTTCCAATTCCACTTGTATAGTAAGCACGTTGGTTGGCACTTTTCATGATACGAGAATAAAATTCTACAACATGGCTACTCTGATCTTGTGGATGGTATCTGTCAAGAGGATTATTGTTGAATTCTTACATACCCATGGTCCAAATTGGTTCTCTGTGCCATCAAAGGCAACTATGAGGCGGCGTTGATGAATACTATCCAAGTCTGATTTTTGATTTGTACAAAGGCACTGGCATATGCTGCTGGCAGTGTCAGAGTAATCAGGACTCATTGGAATAGTTGAGCTAGACAGCTGTTAAAAGCAGGGGTTGAGAGGCAGGATGGTTGAGGAACAGAAATCAAGGGAGTACAGAATGAACTTGAAAGGGGCACACATACAGTCAATAAATACCCCTGTAACCCAAGCTGTACTGGCATTGGAGTCACGCTTATGACAGAAAAATGGATGCATTCACCATCCAAACCAGAAAAAAAAAATCATTTTTGACACCAGGCCCTCCAAGGGAATGCAAGCGTGCTACGATATTTTCTCTGAAGTGTGAGCGCAGAGCGCAGAGTAACTGAGCTCGATGACACAGAGACGTGTTGTTCAATTGGTGCAGCCGGTCCGATGAAATAGGGACGTGCCATGGGCTGTGGTACAACCGTGACCTCATCCGCGTCTTGAAAGCTTCAAGTTGAACCCCTTTGCATCCAAAAATCGAATGTGCTTTTCACCTACGACTCCGAGTCCTTCAATGTTTGTTGCATAAGCAATTTGATCTCCTGTTGGAACATAAGCTCCTTATTGCTCTATTTCTTCGCGGCTGCCGGCACGAACGTCTCGCCGTGATCGACCCGGGCCCTTCGGCAAGTTCGAATTATCTGAAATGCTGCACGACAACGCGGGTTTTATATTTCCACATTTCGCCGCCACCACCGCATTTAACGCGGAACACCCATTTGACCCGCGACGTTTTGGTACTACGCGACCACCGCACGGCCTCGCACACCCCACGCCCGCACAACTCGTCTTGTGACGACTCTTGCCACGCAACTTCCCACTCTGCAGCATCTGGGCGGACCATATCCTCAGAGTAGGTCGTCGTTCAATTCTGTGTATGGCACAGTATGGGCTGATTTCAAGTTAGCGTGATCAGGTTGTGTCCGCCATATGAGGTCACAGAGTAGCGGGATTCATCATCATCGCGACTCGGAGTCGACGAGTGCACGGTGCGCAAGTGGCGGACAGTCGCAGTAGGTGGTGGGTGAAGAAGAGAGCAGGTAGCCCTTCTATCTCCTGCTCACTCTCGTTATCTGATGGGTGTTTAGGTGCTGCAGGTGTAGGCACTCGTGGTGGGTTGCCTTCGGACGTGCTCTCACTCATTTCGACGGCAGATTCGATAATCACACGTTCATGGCGCTTCTCGGTCCCCCTTTGTCGAACATGGCGTCGCGCGACTCATGAAGCGCTTGGTTGGGCGGTGCACAAGGCGGTAGCCTGTAGGCAGTGCGTAGCCCAGGAACGTGCATGTGACTGACTTCGCAGCTAGCTTACTGTGTTGCTCGTCAGGAACGTGGACGAGGACCCGGGAACCGAAAATGCGAAGACGCGAGATGTCGGGCTTGTTCCTGTACATGGCGCCGCCGAGGGTGTGAACTACATGCTCCAGGACAAAGCCCGGAGCATGCTCCAAGATGCCTCCTTTCCGAGTCATATTGGCATCACGCGCTCGAACAGTTCCACAACGTCACGTCCACGCACGCACGTACTTGGAAGTTACTTGGAGGTCACATCCTGAGGCGTGTCCAGCCCGGGCGTCGTAGCTTTGTGCTGAGCCCGCCCACTGCCCCCTTGGGCAGCACCCGTTATTTGGTGTAATATACCTCAGCGCTGAAGTTGCCAAAATTCTGGAGTCTGCGTAACAGAGTAGTCTCGATTTTTCCAACGCTGCAAGTCTCATGTCTTTACGAAGTTTTTCGTTTAGACGCATTGTAGACGAGCTAGGCCAAGAGCTAGGCACACATTATGGAAGTCCCCTTGCCCCAGCAATTGTGGTGATCGCATGGGGGAAATAGGCAGTTTTGTACCCTAGGTCCGGAGGGGGTTGTAAGTATGGGGTGTTTATTATTACCTGGGATTACCGAGGAGGGCTGGCTGGGAGGGACTCCTACGTACAGGAGGATGGACCGGCATTTAACAACCCGTCTTGGTCTCGCCGACTTGTATCCGAGGATATAAATGGATCTATATATATAAAAAGTTATTTATCAGTGCATTCGTAGGACCACATTGATTAAAGCTTTTTTTCTCCCCTTGCGATGTATGGATGGATGATGTTGACCTCTATTAGATGGTCAGTATACTAAGTGCCCGAGTTTCGGTTGTAGATATAATTAAGGTGTAGCGACAAAGAAGTTTGACTGGGCAATAGTCGGAGGGGAGGTTCCACCGCCGAAGCGTGTCGAGAGGGCGACAGGCCATGCACGTTCTGAAAAGGGTGGTCGGTGGCCCGGCTGGCTAAGGTAATGGGCTAGTCTTCGGAACTGGTGTTGCTGGCGTGGCGCGGATGTGCAGGCTATAGGCTTAGAGGCAGACAGTAGAGTTAAAGTGGAGTAACAATATTCCTGAGCCAAGAACGCCGGTTTAAATACAATACAAACAATCAGTGTCTAACGGTTTCACGACTAAGACGAAGGTATAGAGAGAAATGAGGGGGAGTAAGAGGAGTAGAGAGTCTATGAGCGCAGGGAACGAGAGAAAACGAGGAAGGAACGTATAGTAACACTAATAAAGGGAATCGAGCCGGATGACGCACAACAAAAGACTCCTTCGAGACCGACGACAGCGCAATAACCAGCGCAATCTCCAAAGGCGTCTTGCGGGTGGCTAGGGACAACCGACTGGATGAACTGCGAGAGACAAGGGAGTGATAACAAGGTTGGTGAGGTGTCATCAAGGGTGTCATAGAGGGGGACTTGACAGGTTGAACGAGAAAACCGACGATCGACGCGGAATGGGCGATGCAATGAAAGGCGGGCTCGGGCAGGAACTCCGAGGTGAGAATACCGGATGGGCGGGTGCTCGGGGTAAAGACAAGGCCCCAGCGACGAGAAGGGAGAGAACGACGACGAGAGGCGGAGAGACAGAGACGAGAGAAAACGAAGACGCGACGAGACTTGGATTGGGATGTGAAGGAGACGGAAACAAGGATGGCGAGAGACAGCGCGCAAAGCGCCGACGCGAGCTACCAGGACGTCAAGGTAGTGGCTCGGTCGAGAGTACAAGGAGCGAGAACAAGCTACTATAGCTCAGCGCTCAGGAAGCGAAGGGTCCAGCAAGCCAGTGCGGCCGAAACAGGCGAAAATAGATGTTGGCATCATGTGTTAGCGTGTCAATATGGGCAACGATGGAAAAATAACTCAGGCCTGCTTAGCTCAGTGGTAGAGCGCGTCACTTGTAAAACCCGCGATGGACTGCATGACGAGGTCAGTCGTTCAAACCGGCTAGTTGGCATTTTTATTTCCTCCCTCCCCCCTTTACTTTTTGCTGCTTTTTCAATTCTCGTCGCCGAAATTCCATCGGACTCCTGTGATTTAAACTGAGGCGTGGCGAGCTTGTAGACTAACACCAGTGACTAAGTTATAATTAGCACGAGGAGGACGATGAAACTCCTCCCGATTTCCCCCGACTGGGGAATATTAGAGGACAGATCGTGTCTGCCACTGTCAAGCGTATGGCCTATGATACTGTACATTCGCTTCTATACATACAATATGTACCCGGTCGATCGGGCTACCTACGCGCACGTATGCACGCACTCACCACGATCGCATCACATCATCAGCACGACCTCGACATGACACCCTTCCCCCAAATTCCGCACCAGAGGTCAAATTGTTTCCCGGCCTGATGCTGGGGCGACGCCGTCCAAAAAGTCCAGACATCCTCGCCCACACCCGCGCCACAGGAGCGGCACCCCACCCGTCGTCTCGCCGACTCGCACGCCCGCGATCTCGGTCACCCATATATACCGTTCCTCTGCGGGCAGCACGAACGGCGGGCCGAGTCGTGCCCACGCCATTGCCGCTGCCAACCCTGCCGGCGACGTTGCTACTAGTGCCGGCGCAACAACGCAATGCCGCGGGGATGGACAACGCCCAAAGCTCTTTTGCTCCTGCGCAGCTCCAGCTACATCAAGCGCACGAGATCCGTGCTCCCTCGTTTCCGCCATGATATTCGCCGAGGAGAACATACCCGCGCCCGCGCTCGTTGTCGTGGAGCGTGAAAATCCATGTCGTCGTGGGGCGGATACCGCGGCTGGTGCGACGCGCGCGAAGAGCGCCGCATCGGCAGGGGAGAGCGCGCCGTCTTGGAGCGGGAGCAGGAAGCGGTCCTCGAGCGTCGTCGGTTGGTGCCGCGTGCGTGCAGTCGTCGATGTCGACGTCGTGGTTAAGTGCGGCGCTAGCGGGCGCTGTTGGTTCGCCGAAGATGGCGTGAGGAGGTAGCGCAGGATCACTTCGCGCAGTGGCGGGACGCGAAAGTGTACGTGCGTCGTGGCGTCAGCGGTTCTGAGCTCGTCGTGTGCCGCGGGGTTGGCAGGGTCTGGGTGCCATGGGTTCGTGTGGACCTTGAGATTGGTGAAGGTCATCGTGGTCATCTCAGCTGGGAGGAAGCGCAAGTTGTTGTTGACCACATCGAGATCCCTGAGTGCGTGCAACTGCGCGATTTCTGGCGGGATGGACTCGAGCATGTTGTTCCCTGCCCTCGTTGCTATTATCAGTATGTCCAGAAAACTAGAGATGGGGCAGTGAGCACGCACGGAGAGAGAGCACAGTCAGATTGCTCAGTCTGAAGAACTCCGGGGGTAGGGTTTTGATTCTGTTGTTTGCGAGAAAGATCATAAGACCCTGGGACCGGGTCCTGCCGGGGGCGACGGAATGGGCGAAGAGGGACCTATGTGGAGACGAGAAGACTGCTGGTGCGGTCTGCACGCGCTTAAAAGGGCGCTGCGTTGGCTCAGCCACGACGCCGAGGCTGTTGAGTTCCATAATGGATGGAGGTACAGAGGTAAGCTCTGCGTCTCTTGAAACTTCGTGAGTCGTGTGATGACATTTACGGCGAGAGGATGATCGCACGTACTTCCAAGTGAATTCAGCCTCACCCATGTCAACTGCTCGTGTGATTTTCTCTTCCCACAGGGTGGCTTCATCTGGAGGTTCTGGCCCGAACTCTGATTGTGAAAAGCTCTCCTCCTCATGAAACATATCTTCCAGCACTTTGGAGTGGTCTGCAGAAGACGATATATTAGATCGATATGCCCAGCTGGCGGGTGCATAGGACGAGTTAGGGTATCGAAGTTCATTAGAAGGGTGCTTTGTAGCGTGTGTGGATCCAGCAAATGGATGGCTTATGCCCGGTGGTGTTGTTGGGCGGTTGAGATCAAGGGGCTGTAGCGATGGTGACGAAAGGGGGGAAGAGTCTACAACGGAAGAAGTAGATGGAGATCCCCCCGGTGAAGACGAAGGTGACATGTATGCGCGATCCTCTGGGCTGATGAAGGACATTTTGTGGCAACCGGGTCAAGATACGCGACCGGGTGCACAAAAATATGCAAATTCAACAGATTCCTCCGCATCACGAGACCGCGATCGTGCCCATCACGTGGAGTTACATCAGATATTGGTAAGCGTGATTCCTGCTGACTATGATAGAAAATCTCCAAAAACTTTTTGCACACGCCCCGACGCAGCTGAGAAGGGAGCGACATCACAATCTGGGGTAATGACGTCATGAAATTTGACCTCGGTGTGGATGCGCCGACTCAACCCCTAGCAAACCACATCAACTCCCTGTAATGGCCCCAGTGGGACGAGCACTACCACTACCTCCAAAGCCAATAGGAGGAGTTGTTAATGGCAAGAGCCTTCGAGCGCGCACAGCGTGCAGAGGCCTGGCGTGTCAAGGCAGAAGAACACAAAGAGACCGTATGCGGGATGACGTTTGCTTTAGGGTCGCGTCGCCTCACGGACGCAGGCGCGCACTTCCGCAAGGGTGAATATCGCGAGGTCATCGCGGAATACGGAGTTGCAGTCAATATCTACCGCCACGTACCTCTCAAACATGGCCACGGCATGGCCTAAAGCTCGAAGCGTGAGTTTCGTCCACATCATGGGCGCGCCTGCCACTCACGTGCGAGATGCCTCGCAGATATGACGCCGCGGAGCAATGCGCTAAGCGCGCACACTCTGCAATGATCCCAAATCCGCTAAGGCACGTTTTCGTCGTGGCCAGGCGCGCAAGGGATACCTCCAACTCACTGCGGCTGCTGTTGGTACCTTGACCCGTGTCACCCCCTCGTATCTTGACGCCGAGACTGACGGTTTACAAACTCGTGCGGACTTCGCGACCGTACTCGAGCAAAATCCAGGCTCGAGCGAATCAAACAAGGCACTCGACGAGCTCGTTCTAATGAGGGAGCACGACAAGGAAGATGAGCCCATCGAGTCGGAAGACTGTCGTCCGCGATTTATCGTCGACTCGAAGGTCGAGCTCGAGTCGATGTCGGATTCGAGCGATTTAAACCACGAGGGGAACGGTGTTCCCTGCAAGTCCTACAACCACGACGGCTGCAAGCGGGGATCCGAGTGCAAGTTTTCGCACGCGCCGGATTACAAGAGTGTGCGAGATCGCCTGTGTGTCTTTTCTTTCGACCTTTCGCTTGCGTAGACAAACACTGACTTTGGACGCTGACCAGCGGACGCAACGTTTGTCTGCACTTCTTACTCGGGGACTGCAGAGTTGGTAGTTGCGTAGTATATTCCCACGACACTGGCAGGACCTATTTGCCGTCTGACAGGTGGTGGGAGTGTGAAGCTAAACGGGCCGAAGTTCGGGATATGTCAATATGGCCGTTTTGCAGACAAAACCCTGCCGTCCTACTTCTCATGTTCGCGACCATAGACAATTGTATTGCATGGAAACCGGTGCAAGCAGCCAAGCCAGAAGATGCGTACGTTTGGAGGGACAGCATTATGATGCTGGAAGGCTTCTGCGATGCCACAGATGATTTAGGGTACGCAGCCTTCAGAATGATATCTCGGGGTGGTGGTCGAGGCGGCGACCGGGAAGGAATACGCCGCGGTGGTCAGCAAGGCGAACTTGAATTAGATAACTTTGCAGAGCACATGGTGAGAGTGAACAGGGGATTTACGGAAATCGAGATGCACCCTCTGCCAGTGTCAGGGTATATGGGACCACAACGCTTGTGAGTGTTTTGGTTTGAGCACCCCGCTATCTTTCTGATTCTTGCGCCAAGGACGTTGATTATTACATTGAGGCCAACTCGCTCTAACTGTAAAAACCGATATAATGAGTTTTGTCTTCATTTTTCCCACACCCGCCCATGCCTCTGCAAAAGGCACGGCTACTTCAGTTTGTAAAAAGCGATTGACCCATGTATTTCCCACCCAATCCAGATTTATTTTTCAAGTCTCAACATGGGGTAGTTGCATCCACCACCACAAATTTTTGTCATACCAGCGGCAGCTTTCCTCCACAGGTAGAGTGCTGGTGGGGGCATTTCGGCAAATGCAGTGTCCGCCAATACGTCCCAAGATCATGCCCTGACCGAGACATCGACCGAGACGTCCTGACGTGAGACGTCCAAGGGTCACGTTTTTCTCAGGGGACCTTGGTGAGTTTTCTGTCGACAGCTCAATCCCCCTCCGGGATCGTCGGGAGGCATGCTTTCTGAGCCACCCACTGGCATCACCTTTGCCGAATTTTTGTAGTCTTGACTTCACTCAGATCCTTGCGATCCGATGTCTATACGTGCTAAAGAATATATGTATTTTTTATGGGAAGAAAAGGTGCAGGGAAAGTGCCGATCTATCAAGGACCTTCGGAATTTGCAGAGGTGTGGGAACGATTTCCATGCTCCCTTATGGCACTTATAGTGATTGGTCGACGTGTTCCTCTCTCTGTGGTCCTCTTCGTTGCATTCCTCGACACTCAGAAATGGCATCACCCAGCGATATCGAGGCTCAGGCCAATGCTAGTAGCGTGACGAAGACTCAGCCCGCGATCATTACAAATCCTTCACCTTCTGCAAATCCCGCGAATCCCCAGCCACCACCGGCAACTAGCGCAGATCCTCAACCCCAGGCTACAAACACCAGTAAACATCACGACGGGAATGCTCCTGCACAACAAACTGCTGATGATCCAGAGGTTCAGCGCGGTATGTTGACTTTCCCGTATCCCGAGTTCTGATCTCATTAGGGTCCTAGACGAGAACCAAGGAGACTCTTCTGATGGGCTATGGTCTATGTACCTCACTGAGGCAGAGAAGCAGGACACGGAGGTAATCGAGAGTTGGAAGGGAGATACAAATGGAATCCTCGTCTTTGTGAGTCCTGGTCAGGTCTATCTTGTGCATATTCACCGACTAAAGCACATGTTGAAGACTGGTCTGTTCTCCGCCACCGTCGCTGCCTTCCTTGTTGAAAGCTACA